CTAGGTTCAAGCAAGGCCACTGCCTCAGCCTCCCGAGTAGCTGGGACTACAGGTGCATGCCACCACACAGGGCTAATTTTTTTGTATTTTAGTAGAGACAGGGTTTCACCATGTTGGCCAGGATGGGCTCGATTTCCTGACCTCGTGATCTGCCCACCTCGGCCTCCCAAAGTGCCAGGATTACAGGCATGAGCCACTATGCCTGCCCTAAAATAAATTTTAAAAGAAAATTTTTTAGTATTCATAAATATCAACTATGTTACAGTAAAATTAAATAATCAAGGTTTTGAAGGTTTAGTGGGGAAAACGTGTATACAGTTCTTTCATACATATATGCAGTTTTTCCTTTTCCTTCAAAAATTTCAAGTTGTTTGGACAAAATGGTAAAGATTATTTGTTTTATGAAACCATTCCATGAAATGTTTAACCTTTAAAAAGTGTTTAAGTCTGGCAGTACTTAGAAGTAACAGTTACAGCCTTAACATGAAATAATTGGTATAGCTTATTCCTTTTTGTTTCCTCAAGTTCTATACAACCATGAGTACTGGCTGGTTCTTAATATTGTTTTATTTTCTATTAATATAAATAAATAAAAACATAACAATGTTCACAACAAAATTTCTGTGATAAAGGAGACATATGGTATGAGGCATAGGATGGCTGTGATTCAGGAGACTTGAGTTCTGAGTCCAGCCCTATTCCTCATAGCAAGAGTTCTTTGTGACCAGGGCAAATCAGTTTCTTTATGGGTCTTAATATTTTCATCTGTAAAATGAGTGGCTTGGAACTTCTCATTTAGCATGATGACTCAAACACCTATACAAAGATAACAAGAGGGCAGTAATTGGTGGAAGACAGTTTTAACAACTTTATGAAATATAGAAAGTAGCTCAAATCTTGTGAAATATAGAAAGTAGCTTGAATCTTGTGATACAGATAAAACAGCAGATAGTGTGAGAATATGTAGCTGGAGTATTTGTGTAAGGAAGAGAACCTAGCTATAGTAAAACTCTAAAGAGGCTGTGGGCATAGAGATGACAATAAAGAAAAAGAGAATGAAATGAGTGGCTAAAACTAGAGCTGTTAATTAAAAGTGTGCGTATGAAACAACTGTACCAGTTTTCTCCCAACATTCCCATGCTCGTATTTGCCCCTAGAGAGCCAGTAAGTTAGTGAAGAGTTATTAAGTCAAGATCTAGGGAAGCACAAAAGCCTAGTGTGGGGAGCTTCAGCATATGGGGCTGTCTTTCCTTTGGGGGCATTTGAAAATTCTGGAGGGGGCTGCTGAGAGACTGAGTTTGGATTGCTTTGTGGCTAGGAGACAGGGATTAGGGTTCAGGGCCTTCTAATAGTGCTTAGTGAATTTCTTTGGCCTTGTATTGGGATCAAGAAAAGGCTGCTTCCTAGAAGTAAAGGTAACTCAGAGATTGGCCCTTATATAGGCACTGCCACTCAGCTTCAGATTATCATCTCATTTGCTGAACTCGTATGGAGGTAAACAAAAATTGCTAGTGCCCCCAGATACCTAGTAGAAATAAATTTAAATTCTTTGTGGAGGAAGACAACATATTAGATAAAATTATTTCTAGATAGCAAACAGTTTTACAAGTGCAAGGCCCAGTACACAATCAAAAATAACTAGGCACACAAGGAGATAGGACAATATGAATAAAATCCTGCAGAAACAACAGACAAAAGAAACAGATCCATAGGAGGAGATAGAGATATAGGCATTATTAGATCCACATTTCTAAATAGAAAGGTGATGAAGGCAAGATGAAAAGTTTGGGTGGAGAAATGAAAACTTCTTTAAAAAGGACTAAATAGAAATTCTAGAAGTAAAAACTATAGTAATTGAATTGTGAATTTAATGTGTTTAACAGCATACTAGATATAACTGAAGAGAGAATTAGTGACCTGGAAGATAGATTGGCAAAAAATATCCAGAATGAAAGCTGCAGAGACAAAAGTAGTAGAACCATAAGAGAGGTATTCTATTGTTGCATAATGCATTAACACAAACTTAGTTGTTTAAAACAACACCCATTGGTTATTTCATAGTTCTGTAGTTGAGAAACTGGGTGGGTTTGCCTGGGTTCTTTGCTCAGCATCTCACAAAGCTGAAGTCAAGATTTCGACTGGGCTGGACTCGCCTTGGCTCATAGATGGAGGTTCTGGAAGGAGTCTGCTTCCAAGCTCATTCAGATTGTTGGCAGAATCTAGTTTCTTATAGCTCTAGGTCTGTGGTTCCCAATCTCTTGATCTCTTTCAGCAAGGGGCTACTGTCTGCTCCTAGAGGCTGCCTGTTTTCCTTCTCAAGTGACCCCTTCCATCTTAAAGGCAGAAATGGCATGCCCAGTCTTTCCTGTGACTCACGTCTCCCTGACTTCCTATTTTTTCTATGAACCAGAGCAAACTCTGCCTTTAAAGGGCTCTCGTGTTAAGATTAGGCCCACCTGGATAAACTGCCTTTTGTTAAATTAATGAGTATATTTAGCCCCTTTGCAAGATACAGGGTCAATATACATACCCCTCTCCCCAAAATTGCATATTTATGTACTAGCAGCATATAGAAAATGAAAATTTGAAAAGGATACCATTTAAAATAGGATAAAAACTTTTAAATTATCATATCTAGGGGGAAAAATTGAACAATGTGAAAGACTTGTATACAAAAAGCTAAAAAAAAATTGGAAGAAATAAAGAAAACTGAAATAGTGATGGGATATCTGATTTTCATGATTTAGAATATTTAATACCCTGAAGTTCAATTTTCAGACTTGTCTAGAGTGATTGCAGTCAAATCTCAACAGTCTTAAAAAACAAGTAAGTGAACAAACTGATTCTAAAATTTATATGTAAAAATAAAAACCCTAGAATGGTGAAGACACCCATTAAGAAGAAGGGAGGAGGACTCCCTCTGCCAGATAGGAAGACTTACTGGAAAACTGGTGATCAAGATGGTGTTGTGTGGTGCAAGGAGAAACAGTGGCCTGAAGGAACAATGTCTTGATTTTCAACTTCTAGACACATCCTAAAGAAGAAACTCAGAAGGCTTAGTTATAAATATATGATAAATGGAGGAGAAAGGGATGGAATAGTCTCATTTCCCATATGCAGGAGTTAAGACATTCCCTTCACAGTTGATGAAGCATGAAGATTAGGCATATTACTTAAAGAGGTAACCAAGGGAAAACCCAAAAAGCAGACCAAAAAATAAAAATAGGTATTGAGGATTTTGAGGAAGTGGCTAACTACTGTTTTCATAATGGTTAGTAAATAGATCATTTGTAAAGTTGATAAATGAAGACATATTGATAAAAATATATTCTTTAAGTGACCACAATAACCAAGAGCAGGAATAATTGAAGGTAGTTGCTCATGGAGCTGGAGCTAGAAGTGGGGAAGCTTATCCCAACTCAGATGCTTAGACGTGGTCCATTTGGCTCATTTTAGCCAAAAACTTTTTTCAAATGACAAATAAAAATTGTATGTATTTATCATGTCCAGCATATTGTTCTGAAATATGTATACATTATAGACTAGCTAAATTGAGCTAATTAACATATGCATTACCTCATACTTTTTAAAAATTTGTGACAAGAACACTTAAAATATACTCTCAGCAATTTTAAAAAATATAATACATTGTTATTAACATATTGCACAGTAGACCTCCTGACTTTGTTCCTCCTATCTAACTGAAATTTTGGACAAAAACTTTTGAGACCAAAAAAGTGTATCTGTTTTCAAATTTTATTTTTTTTCTTTTGAGACTTTGGGCAGCAGGGTCTCACTCTGTCACCCAGGTTGTCACCTATCACTGCTCACTGCAGTCTTGACCCCTAGTCTCAAGCAATCCTCCCACCTCAGTCCCCTGAGTAACTGGGACTACAGGCATGCGCCACCACGCTTGGCTAATCTTTGTGTTTTTTGTAGAGACCAGGTTTTACTATATTGCCCAGGCTGGTCTCTAACACCTCTCAAGAGATCTGCCTACCTCGGCCTCCCAAAGTGCTGGGATTATAGGCATGAGCCACCACACCTGGCCTGTTTTCAAATTCTTGAGTCTGAGAGGTATATAAATACATATGTGGGTACACTTATATTAATGACTTGTTTCACAAATGGATGTATCCTCATCATTTTATAATTCGTTAAATTGGCACAATTTACATATGAGCGTGTGGATTTACATACATATATAGACATACACATAACATGAACTGGATTAAAGTAAGATCGCTTCTTAACCAAATGCTACAGCATTCAACTTTCAACTTCAAAGTAGATTGAAGTACAAGATTTTTGGTAAAAAGCATTAATAGAAGAGAATAAATGTAAACAATGTTATAAACTCAATAGAATAAAGAAGTAGAAACAGTATTTAAATCAGTACTTAGGTTCTCAGGTGGCCTTTAGTAGCTGTTAACCCTGATGAGTAGCCCAGAGGTAATAACACACATGTTACTATTTAGTACCAGTTTAAAACCTAAAAATGTGCAGTCAGGCTACTTGATTTTTCATGTCTGTTTTCTGGAGGAAAATGAACACAGTATCAACAGGAAACTTGAGATGCTGGAAACACAGCCTTTAAATTTTATTCTTACTATAGTAGTAGGAGGAGGTATTTCCAAAAGGACTTTATATAGCAGTTGCTTACATTAGAGATTTTGTATCTTGGGCATTTACCATGAACTGAAATGTTGAGTCTGTCCCGCAGACCCTGGCCAGCAGATGAAATGAGTATTCAGACACAGGTATGCAGTGTAAGAGCAGCTAGGTGACTGCCTGGCTCTGGTGGCCAGACAGCAACCCCAGAAGCTGCAGCTGCTTTCTTTTATTCGGTGCAGGCACAATGCCAAAGGCCTGGAGCAAACACAGTCTGTAGGTAATTAACATTTATTGTTCTCCTGGTGAGGGGATGTTCAAAGGTTAGGTCCTGGACAACTTCGAACAAACAAGCCTGATCAAGATAACTTCCCCTTTACTCACTTGCACATTACACCTCGCCCTCTGCCTCAGGGTTAGGAACAACTGCCTTCAGGTATTCTCCCCTGGGGCTCCGCAAAACCTTCCAACCTTTCAGAAAGTTTGTCGTCCTTTCCCTATGGTTTTTCCCACCACTGTGACTAAGCCCCATACACTGAAATTTTGGCTTGTTTTCATTTTAGATGCTGTTGTCTGAGAAAATTTAGATTTATTGTATTCTTCTCAGGAACTCAACCATTTCCTCTATTGTGATATTCCAAAATATACTTACATTTTAAGATGGGATACCAGTGACTTTTTTTTCCAACTTCTTGTCATGTTTAAACTGAAGATTTCATTTCTTGACTGGTTTTGTGCACTCTATATTAAATTGCCTGGTTTTGAATGTAATCTAAACTCTGAAAACTTGGTGTATGAAGGATTGCTGAACCCCATCTTAACTGTCACTGAAATGTGTCTCTGTAAAGGAGTTAGTCCATCCTGCATTCTCAGCCAACTCACTCTGCTCTTCATATGTGCAAGTACTTTGAATGAAAATAAGCAGATTTTTGTTGTTACTCATTAAAAAGATAATATATTCAGTGTACATTTTGGCATTGCTGTATTATCCAAAACCATTCTAACGGATTGTGTATTATGTTTCCTGATTCTAGTGCTGCATTTGATACAGTTCTTGGGATAAATGTTGCAGTCAAGAAACTAAGCCGTCCTTTTCAGAATCAAACTCATGCAAAGAGAGCTTATCGTGAACTTGTCCTCTTAAAATGTGTCAATCACAAAAATGTAAGTTATGTATATATTTTGTCTGTGTACTTCCATATTGTCAATAATGTGATAATCTTCAGGGTGTTCTGGAGATACATTGAATTCAGACCCAGGATGAACTAAGGGTAAAAGTGGCTATTAACATATTATTTTTTATTGATAAAACTCTTAATAAACATTGAGGAAATTAAAGCTAGAAAGAGACATCATTATGGTACATAGGAATTTAGATTGCTCAACTAAAGTAGGGGTATCAATTGATATTCTGTTTCTGTAAAATAGGAACAGTATTGACCTATCAGATTGAGAAACAACTAAATATTTTGTGGAAAGATGTTCTATAAGTAGCTTTTTACCTTGTATGTAACATCTCAGTCTCAAATACATATTATTAGATGGTGTTACATTTAGAGTAGCTAAATAGTAGCTCCAAAGAAATCAAAGAACACTAAATTTTAAGGAGAAATAATGTTTCTAGAAAGTGAAGATTGTGCTCAGTCAAGCACATTGAAGCACATTGTATGTTCTACTAGTGGTAACTGAGCATTACCTTGATAACCTTGCAATGTTATACAATTATAAAATGTTAAATCTGGAAGGAGCTTTGGGTTTTTTTGTTTTGTTTTGTTTTGTTTGTTTTTTTTAGACAGGGTCTCATTCTGTTACCTAGGCTGTGATTCTCCCACCTAAGCCTCCCAAGTAGCTGAGATTATAGGCGTATGCCGCCATGCTTGGCTAATTTTTAAATTTTTTTGTAAAGGTGGGGTCTTACCCTGTTGCCCAGGCTGGTCTTAAACTCTTGAGCTTCCTTGTTTTGAGCCTGTGCCTTGAGTTGGTTTTAATTTATTTCTCTAATGCATGCTTTATTTTACTTATCTATTTAAATTTTTTTCAGATTACAAAAAATATATATTATTTTTGAAAATTCAAACAATATATTAAAAAAGCAAAAACTCCTGAATACCACCACCCACACATTACTAGCATTAACAATTTGGTGAGCATTCTTATGCATATGTGTTGTACAAGTACATAAACAAGATTAATCGTGGTGTTCTTCATCCTGCTTTTCTCTTCACGCAACATTGATAGACCTCATATACTTTAATGAACATAGATATAAGCCAGTTTTTAAATGACTGCCTGGCGCAGATGCATAATAATTTATTTAAGAGACTGCCAGCCTCCTGTTATCGGATAGATTGTTTTGTTTCTCACTATTATGAGCAGTGCTGCAATGAACATTCTTATTCTCGAATTTTTGCACACTTGTCCAGATGAATTTCTTGGCCAACATTGCTGGGTCAGAGTATGCACACTTCTGGTTTAATATATACTGACAAATTGATCTCCAGGAAGACTGTTAGTTTGATATTTTCATTAAGAGTATCTGAGAACCTGGGCACATTGACTTCCATATGTAATCCCAGCTACTTGTGGGGCTGAGGCAGGAAGGTCACTTGAAGCCAGGAGTTTAAGGCACACCTAGGCAACAAAGCAAGATCCCATCTCTTAAAAAAAAAGTACTGGCCGGGCGTCGTGGCTCACTCCTGTAATCCCAGCAGTTTGGGAGGCCGAGGTGGGTGGATCACCTGAGTTTAGCAGTTTGAGAACAGCCTGGCCCAAAGTAGTGAAACCCCGTCTCTACTAAAAATACAAAAATTAGCTGGGCATGGTGGCAGGCGCCTGTAATCCCAGGTACGTGGGAAGCTGAGGTGGAAGAATCGCTTGAACCTGGGAGGTGGAGGTTTCAGTGAGCCGAGATGGCGCCATTGCACTCCAGCCTGGGCGTCAAGAGCGAAATTCCATCTCAAAAAAAAAAAAAAAAATGATATCTAAGAATGTCTTTTACTTCAGAATCCCCCAGCACTACATACTGATTTGTTTTTGTTTTGTTTTACTTTTGCCAATTTGATAGATGATAAATGATATTTTATTTTTATTTGTGAGGTTTTCATTTTTTATTTTTGTAATTAAATTTTTATGGCCTTTGTCCATTTTTCTTTTGGACTTCTGGTCTCTTCGGCATTTGTAGGAGGGTTTTTTAAAATATTAAAACTATTGCTCTTTACTTTTTTTTTCCATTTGACATTATTTATGTTGTTGACCTACTGATTTTTTATCACCTATTTTTTTTTTGTTTGTTTGTTTGTTTGTTTGAGATGGAGTCTTACTCTGTTACCCAGGTTGGAGTGCAGTAGGGCAATCTCAACTCACTGCAACCTCCGCCTCCTGGGTTCACACAATTCTCCTGCCTCAGCCTCCCAAGTAGCTGGGACTACAGGCGTGTGCCACCATGCCCAGCTACTTTTTTGTATTTTTATTAGAGATGGGGTTTCACCGTGTTAGCCAGGATGGTCTTGATCTCCTGACCTCGTGATCGAGGTCTCTCTCACCTGCCTCTGCCTCCCAAAGTGCTGGGATTACAGGCATGAGCCACTGTGCCTGGCCTTTTTGTTTGTTTTAATGCTATCAGATCTCTTAGGTTTCCTGTCATGTTTAGAAACGGTTTTTCTACACCAGGATTATATAAATGTTTATCTGTATTCTGATGTTTTATCATTTCATGTTTTCGATTTAAAGCTTTGTTCCATTTTGAGTTTATCTTGGTATAAAGATTGAAATATGGATGCAGTTTTATTTTTGTCCTTAACTAACCAATTACCCCAATCCTATATACTGGATAATTCATCTTTCTCTCAGTCATCTGAAATAACTGAGGTTATATGTTTGATGCCTAAGCCATTGCACTCGCTGTTTACATCATGGGGCCCGTGACCACACTGCTATAAAGAAATACCTGAGACTGGGTAATTTATGAAGGAAAGAGGTTTAATTGACTCATAGTTTTGCATGGCTGGGGAGACCTCAGGAAACTTAATCATGGCAGAAGACAAAAGGGAGGCAGACACCTTCTTCACAAGGCGTTGGGAGAGAGAAAAGTAAGGAGCAAAGTGGGAAGTGCTCCTTATAAAACCATCAGATCTCGTGAGAACTCATTCACTATCACAAGAACAGCATGGGGGAAACTGTCCCCAGGATCCAATCACCTCCCACCAGGTCTTTCCCTAGACATGTAGGGATTATGGGGATTACCATTCAAGATGAGATTTGGATGGGAACACCCAAATCATGTCAGGGTGCCAGGATGGAGGCCTGTAGCAGGATCAGCTCTTTAACCCTCTTTAAGTAAAAATATGATGCCATGAGGCCTTTCACTTTATCACACCAAAAATATGAGCTGCTAACTTCATATTTCAAAACTTCTTAGAAATTTTTACATAGTATTTAAGTTTTCACAGTTAGCACACTCTTTTATTTAGTGTTTTTTAACCCATAACTTCTACTTTTTTATGTTCAAAAATACATTATGTGTTTAAATTCTGTAATAGTTAAGTTACTAGGGACACATAGAAGTGATTCGATTAAAAGTACATCTTTCCTTTAATTGATGTTTAACTTTTTAAAATGCTATGTAATTGGTAAAAGCAGTAATCATAATTACTGAATTCTGCTGTGGTTTTTTTCCCCAGTTTTAGTACATTACAATATTAAACCTAATTTTTGTAATCAAGTAGTCATCTGACGTATTGAAGTATAATTAATTTTCTCTTTTCAGATAATTAGTTTGTTAAATGTGTTTACACCACAAAAAACTCTAGAAGAATTTCAAGATGTGTAAGTATCATTTTTATTCAGTAATGCACTGTACATCAAAGAATGAACATCTAGAAAAGACAGTAACTGCTTTTTATACTTAGGAAATGTAGGTGGCAATACATTTTTGTGACATAATAGATAACTTTCTCTGTTGCAGAAAAATATTTAGAAAATTTGATGGTAATATTGAGTTATTTGTGCCTCATTGGTTATCATCTTCAAAACTGATAAAGGATGACCAGAAAGAATTCTTCAGAGCAGACAAGGATCACTAATGTCACTGCTGTGTTTTGCTGAATTATAAAATGTTTTTCTCAAGTCCCTCATAGCCAGGATTTTAGGGTTCAGGTGTTTGTGAGTGTTATTTGAAATGATGAAGTCACTAATTTTATTTAAGATTCTGTATTTGGGTCAGGAGCAGTGGTTCATGCCTGTAATCCCAGCACTTTGGGAGGCCAAGGCAGGCAGATCACTTGAGGTTGGGACCAGTCTGGCCAACGTGGTGAAACCCTATTTCTACTAAAAATACAAAATTTAACCAAGCCTGGTGGCACATGCCTGTAACCCCAGCTACTGGGGAAACTAAGGCAGGAGAATCGCTTGAACCTGGGAGGCAGAGGTTGCAGTGAGCCAAGGTCGTGCCATTGTACTTCAGCCTGGGAGAAGAAGCAAGATTCTGTCTCAAAAAAAAAAAAAAATCTGTATTTGGCCAGGCTCAGTGGCTCACGCCTATAATCCCAGCACTTTGGGAGGCTAAGGCAGGCGGATCACCTGAGATCACGGGAGTTTGAGACCAGCCTGACCAACATGGAGAAACTCCGTCTCCACTAAAAATACAAAATTAGCTGGGCATGGTGGCGCATGCCTATAACCCCAGCTACTGGGGAGGATGAGGCAGGAGAATCGCTTGAACCTGGGAGGTGGAGGTTGCAGGGAGCTGAGATCGTGCCGTTTAACTCCAACCTGGGCAACAAGAGTGAAACTCTACTAAAAAAAAAGATTCTGTATTTCCAGAATCTTAAGTAGAATCCTCTTTCTAACAGTGAAATGAAATATTAATCTTTTGAGAGGCATAATGTCCAACTTCATCCTAAATTTGTTGGTATGTTTGGTCGTTAACAAATATCTGAGTGCCCCCTGTGTGCTGGGTACTCTCTTGGACTTGCCATACTTGGCTTCTCTGGAGCCTGTCAAGGAAGATAGATAGTCAACATGATAAATGAGGAAAGTGGGTATTCCATTAAAATGTGCTAAGTGCTGTGGACAAAGTGTCAAGCTTGGTCAGGGGATCAAAAGTGCTGGAGGTTGGGCTTCAGGCTGCAGTTTTAAATAAGGTGGCTGGGGAAAGGCCTCTGTGAGTTGGTGACATGTGAAGAAAGCCTTGCAGGAGATAAAGAAGTTAGGGACACAACAGATACAAGTATCTATACAATACATACAAGTATCTTATTCCCCTACAGATTCTTGGGGATGGGTAGAATGGAGATAGAAGGAACAGATAGGGCTCAGGACAGCCGTGGATGCCAGCCTGTTGTTTTCCAAGACCATCAAGAGGTAGCATGGCTCGAGAGGAGGGAGCAGGGGAAGAGAAGAGGGTGGACACTGTAGGGCCTCTAGGCCCTTGTAAGGATGTCTTTGGCTTTAAGGCAAGTCAGAGTAAGAGTCTTAGCAGACCAGTGAGCTCACCTGTCTTCTACTTTAAAAGCATAACTCTGGCTTCTGGGTTGGTAACCTACTGTATGGGGTGGGGACACAAAATACCAGTTACTGCTATTGCATCAGTTCTGGTAAGGGATTATGGAGGGTCCATTTGGACCAGAGGGGTAACAGTAAGGGTGAGAGGGGAAGAGATTGGATGCTGAAATGGTTCTAAAATAGAGCCTCAGTATTAGCTGATAGATAAGATGTGTGGTATAAGAGAGAGGAACTGAGAATGACACCTAGATTTTTGGCTTGAGCACTTGAAGGATGAAGGAGCTCTCAACTGAGATTAGGAAGGCTGTGAGAAGAGTAAACTGGGTTGGGGGGTGGGATCAGGAGTTCAGTTTTGGACATGGCTTCGAGATGCTTGTTGGACATCAAGGTGGAATTGGAAATAGGCAGGCAGAGGAATGAGCCTGGAGTTCAGGAGATAGGTCTGAGTTGAAGGTAGGCATTTAGGAGCTGATGGCCTATAACTGAGATCACCAAGGAGACGTGAGTATGGTTAGAGAAGAGAAGAGGGTCACAGACCAGTCACTAGGCATTTTGACAGCAAGAAGCTGGAGATAGGACAGGGCAGGACCAGCTAGGATTGTGGGACTGGCCAGTGGATTTAGCAGCATGGAAGCCATCAGTGGCCTTGAGGAGGACAGTTTCAGTAGAATGGCAGCTGCACGACCCTGATCCAAGTGAGATTAAGAAAAAAATGGGAGAAGCCTGGGTATGGTAGGTCATGCCTATAATCCCAACATTTTGGAAGGCCCAAGGTGGGTGGATCCCTTGAGGTCAGGAGTTCCAGACCAGCCTGGGCAACATGGTGAAACCCTGTTTCTACCAAAAATACAAAAATTAGCCAGGCATGGTGGCTGATTTTTTTTTTTTCTCTTGTATTTAATTTTCAGTTCTGGGAGTCGGAGGCATGAGAATGCCTTGAACCTGGGAGGTGGAGGTCGCAGTGAGCTGAGGTCATGCCACTGTACTCCAGCCTGGGCAAGAGAGTGAGACCCTGTCTCAAAAGAAAATTTTAAAAGGGGCGAGTGGAGGCTGGGCCCAGTGGCTCATGCCTGTGGTCCCAGCACTTTGGGAGGCTGAGGCAGGCGGATCATGAGGTCAAGAGTTGGAGACCAACCTGGCCAATGTGGTGAAACCCTGTCTCTACTAAAAATACAAAAATTAGCCAGGCGTGGTGGCATGCACCTGTAGTCCCAGCTACTCAGGAGGCTGAGGTGGTAGAATCTCCCTTGAACCTGGGAGGTGGAGGTTGCAGTGAGCCAAGAGCCAAGATGCGCCACTCGTTCCAGCCTGGGTGACAGCGAGACTCTGTCTCAAAAAAAGGCAGGGCGGGAGAAGAATTAGAGATAGCACATGAGACACCTCTTTGGAAGTTTTGCTTGCAAAGGGAGCAAAAAATGGGAGATTTGGGGGGTGGGGCCAAGTGTTATTTTTGTTGTTGTTTTATGATCATTTTTAGATATACATATATATCACACACACACACACACACACACACACACACACACACGCACACACACACTTAGTAGAGAGCAGTTTAGAGTCACAGCAAAATTGAGCGGGAGGTACAGAGTTCCAGTCCCCATATATGCAGACTCTCCCCTATTATCAGCATTTACCCACCAGAGGGTACATGTTTTATGGTTGATGAACCATATGAACTTTGTAACAGCATGGTCGTAGGCTGGTAAGAAGGATTTCAGTAGCAAAAAATGTAAGAAGTAGGAAAATTTGTGTGAGATTCTGTTTACCATGCTATAAAAGTTTTTGTTTTTGTTTTTGTTTTTTAATTTTTAACTTGTAAGACATTAAGTTTGTTAGTATATATTATTTGGAAAATTTTTAGAAAGTTACATTGTACCAAGTTACCTTTACTTTAGCCAGTGCAGTGATTAGATAGTAAGTTATTGTTTCATGAAATTTAGTCATAAAGGAACTTTGGATAATCAAATACATAATGACCTTTTCTTCCTCAGGTATTTGGTTATGGAATTAATGGATGCTAACTTATGTCAGGTTATTCACATGGAGTTGGATCATGAAAGAATGTCCTATCTTCTTTACCAGATGCTTTGTGGTATTAAACATCTGCATTCAGCTGGTATAATTCATAGAGTAAGTAGTAATCTATGAATTTTATTTTTAAAAACAATCATTTGGTTGTCATAATCCTTTACATACAAAATAACATTTTAAAAAATTGTTGGTGTTGACAATCCAAATCAATGATGGAATCATGTGTTTTAAGAGAGTCATTCTAGGAAGCATCTGTGGAGCCGCATGACCTGTCAGGCTAGGTAAGCTGCTGTGGACACAGCCTGAGTGAGCTGCCACTCTTAGTCAGATACTGCGCAAGAATACATTTTTTTTTTTAAACTTTTCATTTTAAAGTAAAACTTAGAGAAAAATGGTAAGAATAGGATGGATAACTTCCAGCTACCATCTATCTACATTCACCTATTTTTTTTTTTTTTTTGCCATATTTGAAATCCCATTTTTAATTAGCAAGGACCTAAGAGGCCAAGCAGTCAGTGAGACCACTGCTTGAGAACTCTCTTTCTTAAATCATGACCCAAATATCTATTTCTCTTATCCTAAAATTCTGCCATGCCAGCTTCACTACATCGCTGGTGGGAGTGGCCTGGCCCTTCGCTGCAAGGGTTCAGAGAGGGCCTGTGGGCTTGGCAGAGGCTGGTATTTGAATGACAGTGTGACTATACTGTCAGGAAAAAAACATTTAATAAACTAGGGAACTGTGATATAATTCTCTCTAAGCTAATTTTACAAGTGTTTGTTAGTTTTCGACTTGTACAGCTGTGTAAGCGGACTATCATGATAAAGTTTTTGTAAAAAAACAACTAAAATATTGAGTGAGAGTAGAGGCAGAGATAATAAAATTTTATTGGAAATAGATATTCTTAGCATTCCCTGAATTATTACTATACTAATTATATTGACAGATTGCCGTTAAATTTTATGTTCCAACAGCAAAAGGTCATATTTCTGCTGAACTGAAATCTGTGTGGGGAAGAAGCTAGTGAGAGACAAGAACAGTGGAGCCTGTTATTACAGAAATGAGCAGATAGGTTTTAGATGGTGGAGTGGTATTAATTTTTTCAGATCTCTTATGCCAGGAAAGATTTGTTCCATCACAGCCAGTGAAGTCCTCCCTTTGGGACAGAGCCCACTGATCCACAGAGGTCAGGCTTGCCTTCTTTCAAGCCTCAGGTCTGTGGCCCAAGGTCAGCATCAGGGATAGCTCTTGTCCTCCCATGCCTAGCTGACAGGCTCCCATCTGCCATCCATTGTACTGTTATTTGAAATATAACTTTTGCTGCCACCAGGTGGCCAGTTAAAATAATATGTTGGCAACTTTGCTTTAAAAATAGTAACACTAGACTTCTGAATTAAAAGTAAAGATTTTCTGATATACCATTCTATTTCTTTTCCTGAAATTTCCATAGACCTTCGTGTATAATTTAAGGCACTCTTAATATCTCTTAAATACATTTTATTAAATTCATGCTTTAGAATGATTTCCCAGATTATTAGTCTTACTACATTAGGCCTTATACATTTTATAAGGGGAAATGGTTTGCCTGACTTGTTCCCCTTGGGCCCTGAGGTAAGCGAGAAACAATGGCCTCCTGTCACTGGGGACCTTGTGAGAGCTGCAGCTTCGGACTAGTAGGTCCCTGCCGCCTCTGTCAGATGAGGCCAAAAGAAGCATTTGGTATGCCCAGCACAAGGTTTAGAAACCTAAGAAGCCTTCAGAAAATTACCCCATTGCCATCCCTGCCTCCTACTCACCACTTCTCACCCGCCCGGCATCTTGCTACATCCTCCCTGTCACCTTGTTCCCTCCTGCTTCCCACATCCATGGGTCTGCCAGGCTTTCCCTGAATCTGTGTCCATATGGGAGTGTGATGCATGCTCACTGTGGGGAAGTTCCAAACATTGCACATGTGTATAAAGAAAAGAAGGAAACCCCCTCTTGCCTCCTGCCCCCACCATCCCACCCCTGCCCACATCCCAGGAGGGGAGGAGCCCTAAGTTAACTGTTCTGTGTGGACTGCACCCATCGTTTCTCCCATCTGTAGTGCCATGCACAGAGATAGACACACTTTTAATTTTGCTTATTAAAATGGTTTAATGCAAAACATAAATTTTAAGTATTTGAAAGATAAAGTTTTGCCCATAGAATTCTCACCAAAGAATATAGTTTATATAATTCAAAACACTAAAAGTACCCCAGCCTTCTGTCAGCACCTGGAGATGGCCAGTGAGAGCACTCTGGTGCATGTCTTGCTTCACTCTGCATGGCACCTCTCTGTTTACTGATGTTAACACCAACATATCTGTACTTATGTCCTTTTGAACTTTTATTCTTCAAAGACAGGATCATCTTGTATATAACTGTGTAGCAACTTGCTGAACAAGTAGCTTGGTTTGTTTATTTTTATCAAGGATCAAATAGTTCCATAAATATTTATGAAAAACAGATTCTGCCACCTCCTCCCTTATTTATCTCTCCCTAGAAGCAAACTCCTTCTGTTCATTTAGCTGATTATTTTGGGTATCATTTTCATATTGAAATAATATGCTTAGCTCTCTCTTCATTGATCTTTTCTCAGTTTGGGGCATAAGATGCTGATCTAGCCTCTTACCAACCCAGCCCTCACCCTCAGCCTTCACCACGCTCCTCCTGGGCTGGCTGATGTGATGGTGTGTTTGGCTCGTTGCATCATCATGATCATGTAAATGCTTTGCACAGCAGACCTTCCCCTTTCACCTTTTGGTCCCTGGAGTTAACAAACACTTATCTTTTATTTGTTTGAGATTTTTGTTTGTATTAGGGGGTAGTGTTCTATGTTCTCTTTGCTAATTGAACCCTAACTCTTCTATCAGGCATCTAAATCTCTCAGTGCATGGAGAATGTCTTGGGCATTTCATTAGTTTTGTCTTCTCAGGATCCTTTCCTGCAGCCCTGTTCTCTTTTGTACCAGCTGCCCCTGCACCTGCTTGGAGGGGCTGTCCTGGGCCTCCCTTGGTGTTTTTCTGGGGGTTTCCTTTTTCTCCCTCCCATGTTGGATTCCCTGCTTGCCATCCTTGTCTCTCAGATTACCCCCTTGTTTTAGTGGGACACATCCTCCAAAAGCTTCCTAAAAATGGCACAGGGGAAGAAATTTTTTGAGGCCTTAAATGTCTGAAACTCTATTCTGCCCTCTCACATGATGAGTAGTGTGGTTGACTGTAGAATTCTTAGTTACAGATCAGTTGCACTCAGAATGGCGGATGCAGTGTCTAGATCTAGCGTGGCTCCAGAGTGCCCTAGTGACATCTGATGACTAACCTTTTTTAAGTGCTCTGGTTTTGGGTTTTGGTTTGGTTTTATCTCTGGAAACTTTAAAACTCAGTTATTTATTCCTTGATTCTAAAATGTTTTGATGTATGTATGCCTTGATATGGACATTTTTTCATTAATTTTGCTGGGCACTTGGCCTTCAGCCTGGAAGCATATGTTGTAGTGGTCTGAGAAATTTATATTGTTTCTTTCAGAATGTGCTCTTAACTCTATTCTTTTTCTCTGATGCATGAGTTAACTGGCTCCCATTTATGTACTCTTTTTTTTGTTTGTTTGTTTTGAGATGGAGTCTCGCTCTTGTTGCCCAGGCTGGAGTGCAATGGTGCGATCTGGGCTCGTTGCAACCTTCGCCTCCTGGGTTCAAGTGATTCTCCTGCCTCAGCCTCCTAAGTAGCTTGGATTACAGGTGCCCGTCACCATGCCCAGCAAATTTTTTGTATTTTTAGTAGAGACGGGGTTTCACTATGTTGGTCAGGCTAGTCATGAACTCCTGACCTCAGGCGATCCACCCGCCTCAGCCTCCCAAACTGCTGGGGTTACAGGCATGAGCCACTGCACCCAGCCTCATTTACTCTTAAAAGTTCCTTTTTACAGCATTCTGTTCTTGTTGCGTGGATGTACTATCATCTCTGAGGATAAACTGTTGTCAAACGGTTTTATTATTCCCTACATTGTTTTTCTTTACCCAGAGTTTCTTTCTAGGGTGTTAGGTCCCTCCCTGTCAAATGCAAGGCTTTCCCCAAATGTCTGGTTGGATCATGTTTAAGATTGAAGCATTAGGCCAGGCACAGTGGTTCACACTTGTAATCCCAGCACTTTGGGAGGCCTAGGCAGGTAGATTGCCTGAGGTCAGGAGTTTGAGACCAGCCTGGCCAACATGGTGAAAGCCTGTCTCTACTAAAAATACAAAAATTAGCTGGGTATGGTGGCAGGCACCTGTAATTACACCTACTTGGCAGGAGAATCACTTGAACCCGGGAGGCAGAGGTTGCAGTAAGCTGAGATCATGCCATTGCACTCCAGCCTGAGCAACAAGAGTGAGACTTGGCTAAAAAAAAGAAAGAAAGAGAGAGAGAGAGAGAGAGAAAGAGACACATTAAAGGCTGACTGGAAGTGCTGAGAGAATGGGTGGATTGTTAAAGAATGGGTATCTCTTGGGCCACAGGTGTTGCTCTGGGCACCATTTAGTTTCTCTGGAAAAGGCCCCTCCAGTCCCTTGGTGAAGAGATGTAAGCCTGGCTGATGGAGTACAGGGCCATGGGGTGGGGCTGGGCTTCTCACATGGGAGAGCACAGACTCACTGAGCAGCCCTGTCCCAGACAGGCTTCATCATACCATCTCTATTGGTACCCACAGGTCTGTGCATGCTGTACCTGTGGCCCTACACCTAGATGCTGGGCATCAGTTTCTCTGCATAAAGGGCCAGCAGGAGTGAGGAAGGAGTGGAGCCTCACTTCTGAGATGGAGGTGGGGATCTCTGGGACATCTACCTGCTCCATACCTGGACTTCCAATAAAAAGAAAACTCTTCAGAGTGCTACTCTTGCCTTGTTCCACCTCCACAGCACCTGTGGGTCACTTGCTGAGCCTTTCCTGAATGTCGTGGTTGAAATTGCCTTGCTGTGGCAATTTGTGGAGGTTGGCATTCCCTTCACTCTGCCATGGCATTTGATGTAGCCCTGCAGCTTCCCATCCCCATACAGTGGGGGCTTTTTGTGGGCAGTGTCAGCATGCCATGGGGGGTTAGACAGGCAAAGGACTGGATGGGAGAAGGCCTGTGTGAGAAGGAAGAGGGAGCAGCCGAAGGAGGCAGCAAATGCCAGTCAAGCACAGTGCAGTCCTGGCCCCTCAGAGGGCTGGTCCAGACTGAGGTGCAGCTCTGAGGGCCTCCGGTGTCACACAGGAACAGGCCTACCTCAGCACCCCTGCCAGCTCAGACCCTGGCTGAGGGCTCTGTGGGAGGTGTGCCCTGGCAGGGACAGAGGATGGGTGCCAACACTGCACTGGGCCATCTGCCACTCTCATTCCTGTGGCGGGAGACTAAGGAGCGTGTTTCTCTGGCTCCCATAGTCCACCCTGGCCTCCTCAGGTCCACTTCTCCACATAGGTTGAGAACAGCTTTCCTGTGGCGCCCATGGTTCTCTCTCCCTCAGGGGAAATCTGTAAGACAGGATGTGGGACACTCTGTAGTCTCCGTCACTATGGTCTCTCTACTGGCTCTCTCCCTTACGCTTTCCTGTTATTCATACCCTCAGCTCTCACATTGGCAGGGCTCTGGCTTACCTGGTATGTGTCTCAGACCTTCATTCCTAAGCCATCTGCATCTGGTGGCTCTCAGTGGGCCACAGGGTCTCAGGCCACCGAGTGGGCATCTCCCCAATCCTCAGTGTGTGGCTGGAGCGGATGTCCTTGGCAGTTGGAGTAACCCCCACACGAGTTTCTTGGCCTGCGAGTAATAGTCATCACAATGGGAAGGCCAAATGGAAACCTGAAACTGCCCCTAAGATAGTAAATCAAAACAAGATCACACCCTGCAGGGCTGGAGGTGGGTGGAGGAGATTAGTGCCACCATGGAAGCCTCAGGGGAGTGGGAACAGTGGTCTCTCTTGCATCCCAGTCTAACTCACTAGTCCAGCCCTTCAAGAAACTTCATGGATTCTGGTGAATGACTCTAGAAGAAACTTCATGGATTCTGGTGAATGACTGTAGACAACCACAGGCTTACTGCACTGGCAGTCCTGGCTGCAGCTGCTGTGTGGGTCGAGGCGCAGTTGCTGGAGCAGATTAAAAAGGCCTCAGGTCCAGCATGTTGATTGGGCAAATGCACCCTCCACACTGATCAGAAGAGAGGCCCAAACAGCACCCAAACTCATGCAGACTGGAAGTGAGGTTCTCTTACAGCTTTGTTCTAAGCCTTTGCTAATTTTCCCACCCTTCCATAACACGGCCAGAAGAGACCTGGCCCCACAAACCCCGCAAGTAAAGGAGCCATGATAGTGCTTGGGGTCTTCAGGTTTCAGTGTCCACTTAGAGCTGTGTCCATTCATCTTCAGAATGCCTGGCTGTTCTCCTTCCCCAGTGGAAGGCTACAGGTACCTGTGGGGAAGGGCCAGGGAACTCCAGACAGTGGACATCTGTGATGACCTGCTCCCTCCTGGAATACCTCTCAAGCAGTGGGTCTGGATCCCGGAGTCAAACAGGCAGTGGAGGAGGCCGGCACCTGCCTCACTTGTGCTGTGGGTGCCCTCACTGCTACCCATAGGGCAGCGTTGGGCTCCAGGCTCTTTGGGAGCCCAGCCCCAGTCCAAGCATCACTTGGATCTTGGCATTTCTCGTTTTCTTTGTTCTGGGTGATTTTCAAGACTTGAAGGGGCAGAACTGTGTTTCCTCTTTTCATCCCGAAATTGAAATGAGGTGTTGGGAAGCTGCCTCAGGTTGTATTTTGGGGGTGACTGGAGGGGGTCCCAGGGTACGGGGAGAGCTCTAGGAGCCCTGTGACCTCCTTAGCCACCTCCCCCACTGGCTGCACAGAGCACCCACACAAGCTTGGGATTTTATCATCATGGTCTTCCAGCAGATGGCAGTGAAGTGTGCTTTTCTAATCAAATCAGTATGTGATGTCAGTTTTTTGACAGATGGCAGTGTCTTCAGATGAGCGTATTTTCTGGCACACTAGGGTTCACAGAGCTGGCAGGCCTCTTGTGGAGATGGTTCCGCTGCTGCTTCTGTCCTTGCTAGAACTAGGCTGTCCTTGTCATCCTTGCTCCTGCAGCTGTGCTATTAGTTCTGGGTGAACTGGGCTTCAGGGCCTGTTGGCTGGTGAAGTGTGTGCATTTCACACCTCAGAAATCAGCCTCCTGGAGAGAAAGTACCCACTGTACACCCCTGTGGCCTGAGAAGGTGCCTCTTTCTGCCTCTCCTGCCATCACTGAGGCTGCTTGCTTTCCATGGCTGCCACACGATAAACTAAAAATGGGCATTCATTTTGGGTTTTTAAAAAAGATTTTTGTGAGATTGGACACTATTTTATCTGTTAGTAATTTGTGTTCTAAAATGCTTGTTCTTAACATATTCTTTGATTTTAAAAAAAGGAAAGGAAAAGCAAATTGGTTCATTTGGTCTTAGCTCCATGACCGAGTCCTCACAGCGGAGAGTCCCTGGTTGAACTTGGGCTGCTTCTTCCCTGGCTTTCCTTCATGCTGAACAGCAGCCCAGCTTCTTTCTCTAAGACCTCTCTGGGAACTGGGGGTATCTGCACAGTACCCTGAGGTGGAATGGAGGGGCTAGGGGCTTCTTTTTGGAGCCAGGTAGAGATTGTCACTGCATTTTTAAACATTATATATTTATAATTTAAATTTTACAGAATCGGAAGCCTAGAAATAGAGCATTTAGCAGCATTGAAATGTAATTGTAACAGTTGTAAATATTCAAATGGCTTCCCGCTTGCCCTGATAACAGTTCCACAGCCTTCACTGAGGCATACCTGCAACCTCCTTGTGGCCCATCAGTTGGGATGTCTTAAAGTCAGATGCTAGGCAGTTTTATGGAACCTGAAACTCCCCATGTAAAGTATCCTCAGGCTTTACTCTGTGTCGGTGGCTTAGCAATTTGACATTGCAGGTATGCATTTTATACTCTTGTGAAAAGAATGGATGTGAGTTGTTTACAAGTTGCAGTTTCTAGAGTGAGTTTGCAGGCTGAAGTCCCCAGGCAAAAGTCAAATTCCTGAGTCCTAACGAAGGAGGCTACGGTGGTGGATCAGCAGGAAGAACGTCCCTTAGTTATAAGGGAAGAGGTTGCAGAAGTTGCGTTAAGGCTTTGCAAGTGGGTTGGAATAGGATGCATGTCTTCATTCAGCGTACACTATCCAAGTGGTAGGGGTGAGAAGACTTGAGGTGGATGATCATAGAATTGCTCTTTCAAGGAGAGAAAGAGCCATGGGAAGATTCCAGGGTTAGAGGATTCTAGGCCTGTGCTGTCCGGTATGGCAGCCACCAACCACAGGAAGCTGTAGAGTACTCAGGATGTGGCCATGCTACAGTTGTCAAATACATACCGGACTTCAAAGCCTCAGTACCAAAAAGAATATAAAATATCTCAAGGTTTTTCTGATGTTGATTACATTTTGGAATGATAATATGGATATATTGGGTTAAATAAAATATATTATTGAAATTAATTTCACCTATTTCTGTTCACGCTGTTGAACATGGCTGCTAGAAAATGTAAATTATACACGTGGTTTACATTATATGGCATTGTCTATGTAACAGCACTGCCCTAGACTGACAGTGAGCATAAGGACCTTGGCAGAAGAGAATCAGAGTATTGGGGAACTGAAGTCCAGGCGTGGAGGACGGGACATATGGATGCATGGACGGAGGGTAGACAGGGTAGCCTGAGGGCCTGCAAGGCCACAGAAAGGACAAAGGAAGGCCATGAAGGTTTTCACTGGGGGTAAGGGGTACCCTCTGACCTCTTTAGACTGATTTGTTTTAGTTTCAATTTCAGAGTAAGATTTTTCAAAATTGTTCCCAAATCCTAGAGTTCAGTTTACTGTACTCCCTGCACTCTCACACTGGCTTCACAGACCCTTACGGATATGAAGCAGTTTATTTAGCATGCTCTGTTCTTTTTACTGATTTAAACTATTTCTTTCCTAGGATTTGAAGCCTAGCAACATTGTTGTGAAATCAGACTGCACCCTGAAGATCCTTGACTTTGGCCTGGCACGGACAGCATGCACTAACTTTATGATGACTCCTTATGTGGTGACACGGTACTACCGGGCACCTGAAGTCATCCTGGGTATGGGCTACAAAGAGAATGGTGAGTACAGCTGGGACTGGAAGAGGCTGGGATGTTTAGAATCGCTCTAGTGGTGGTCCTGAGTTTTTTCTCTTTCCTTTGAACTGTATGGTGTAGACCATGGGGACTGTTACATATAGAATAGTGTGATACAGAGAAAATAAATAATTAATTGTGTTTTTCCATTGGTTAAAATCATTCTCTTTTAAAATTTTGCTTTTAAAATTAGTATTTTGAACTTTTTATCAACATTTAATCTACCTATAGCCAAGTGTGCAGATCCTGAGTGTGCAGTTCAGCTGATATGAGCACACCTACAGGACCAGCAGCCCTGTCCTCCCCACAGCCCCTCCTCCTCACAACCCACGAAGCTGACCAATCTCCTGATCTCCAGCCCATGGACTGGCTTTTCTTGTTGGTTTTTTGATATAAATGGATTAATACACGTTCTCTTTCATGTAAAATTGGTATCTTTTTACATCAAAATTTAGCTTATTCTAGCAATATCAGAGCTCTTTGAAACTTGGCTTTTAGCAAATTTGATGAAAATAACTAAATCACACTTACTTTTTTTTATTATTATTGTTAACAAATATTTGGTATTTTCTCAACTTTAAAAAGACTGAAAGTTTACCCAGGTCATCTGAAACAAGTTTTACTCCAGGTTTATCTTGCTGCATTGTAGCATGTGTTCCCACCCTGAGAGGCACAGCTTCATGTGCTTCCCGTGGAAGGGAGAGAAAACTAGATCCCCTGTTCACTTCTCCCCTCCGCCCACCAGCAGAGCACTTAGAGAGCTCTGCTGTCTGTCTGATGCCAGGGGGACCAGCGTGGCCTCACAGATGAGGGTGGGAAGTCTGGGCCCCTATAGCAGTGTCACACCTGCAGTCCTGCAAGCCAGCCACTGTGTGCTGCCTGTTCCCCCACTGAATGCTGCTGCCTTTCTGATAGAGCAGTCTAGAAAATGATCTGCTCATTTGGTGCGGTGTCAACAGTGCACAAAAGCTCCTGCTGGCAAGCTGGTGATATTTACTGGGTTTGTCTCTGGGAGGGGGTTTGGAGAAAAGAGATGTGGGACTGTAGCTGGTTTTTAATCCCCTGGTGTTTGGTAGTGGACATCTGGTCTGTCGGGTGCATCATGGCAGAAATGGTCCTCCATAAAGTCCTGTTCCCAGGAAGAGACTGTATCCTTCACAGGGGACCTGGCACTTGGCCATGGAGGCTGGGGGCAGGGTGGGCATGTGACCCTGAAAAGCTTTGTGTTCACAGGCACTTCTTGTTTCTGGTTTTTTGTTTGTTTGTTTTAAGCTCTAAAGTATTGGACTCTTGGGCACTAAAACCCCAGATTGCTACAAACTGAAGGCTAAAATAGAGGTCAGCAATCATTCATATTGTGTAAAAAGTTCACCCTTAGCTAGCAATTTATTTTTCCATATTTGTGTGTTTAGTGCACTGTTAGAATTCCTTTTCCTCACCTTTGTTTTGCTCATGGCACTTCATAATTTTATCATTTCATTTTATTTTCAGTTGATATCTGGTCAGTGGGTTGCATCATGGGAGAACTGGTGAAAGGTTGTGTGATATTCCAAGGCACTGACCGTATCCTTCCCCGCGACCTTGGCCCCGCCATGCTTTCCATAATGTCTCAGGCAGCATGACCACGTGCTTACACGAGCGCTCACGAGGACAATGTCGTAATCCACTCCAGACTGTGTTCTAAGGGGGGCTTTATTATATTTGTTAATTAGTATCACACAACAACTGTCAATTTTATACTTTATTTTTAACTTGACTACCTGTAACAATTTTGAGACTTAGAGTTAAGTTAAACCAATTATATTAGCTCTTAATTTTATCAAAAATAGCTGGACATATAGAAGAAATTATTTACTATTTGATGAGTATATTCTGATATTTAAATGAAAATATTGCATTATTTAGTTTATTCCATTAATTTAACTAGGAAAGACGCTAGCTAAATTTAATAGGCTAGTGTGCTTGTATGCTTTAATTAAATACTGTTTTGTTAGTTATTGCTATGCATTGAAATACTTTTCCCCAAAGTAAGAACTGAAGCACATTACAAAGGACCTAAGTAAAAGAGATTAAAATGAAAATTTTGTGAGGAACAATATGTTAAACTTTCTTGTTTGTTACTGCGCTGACATTTTGTAGAATTTTTTAAAAACAAATCTGTCTGGTGGGTTATTTTGCGACACGCTGGGGAAGTTGAAATAAATGTAAAATGAAAAAGATGAACTCATACTGTAGTCAGCAAATCATATTAGAGATACAGCAGAAAGGAGAATAACTACTCTAATCGTTAAAAGTAGCCTTCTTTCCTCATTTGCCATTCTTCCATCCTTAGTATTTTTTACCCTAACATGGTTCTTCACGTCTTCCCTTTTTCGTTTGTGTTCTCACCACTTAGTTTTTCATTAGTCTTTGACTTTGTTTTCATTATGAAAGTTTAAATTGATCGCCATCCTTAGGCAGATTGATAGTTGCTTTTAAGGAAATCAAGCTCTGTAGTCAGTGTTTGTGTGTATTTTAGGAAAGTAATTTCAGATTTTAATAATTTTATCAGGATGGTCTCTTTATAATATGAATTCTTCACAACACAGACTTGGAATGAAGATGTTTTTATTTCTCTCATTTATCTTTCTTTACATTTTTATATATCATAGATTATATGTCAAGTTAAATATAGTATTTTATTTGTTCTAATAAATTTTCTAGCAGTTTCCATAGCCTTAACTCAGATTCACTTGTTTCAACCTATAAATAAGGAAGTCTTTATTTTGCAAGTTAACTTAATTAAAAAGGGAAAAGTTGAGGAATCAAAGGGCTAATAATTTAGAAGTATCTACTTAATGTTCAGTTTGTCTCAATTCTTACTCATTTTGTGCCATTCCTTGTTTTATTAAGAAATGTTTTCTTCAAAAAGTACAAAAATGAAAAATGTGAGTACATTTTGGTGCATTTTAGTAAGTAACTTAAAATGCCTGCTTTACATATTAACATTAATGTCATTAATTAATGGTGTTGTGAGGTCACCTAATGTTATTCCCAAAAGTCACACAGAGTTTAACATTATTTTCTAAGGAAAATTTTGCCAACTCTTTAAAATATTAGATTGAAATTTGGGAGATAGAAAAAAGTTGCAGAAATCAGACTGCGGGTCTCAGAGATTTGCTTTACATTTGTGAGCTGGGGTAAAAAAGGAATTCCTGTCCCTGCCCTGACCTGTGAGAAAGAGAAAGCTTTTGCCAGACCACCTTGGGCCCCAGCTCAGACTCCTCCCCTTGCCAGCTAGGCATCCTTGAGAAATTCAGGGCCTCTCTTAGCCTTGGTTTCCCCTTCTGTAAAAAAATGGGAGACCTATGGTCTGCCTGCAGCATCACAAGAGTTAGACAACAAAGTCCACTGGGCTTGCCAGAATTATCTTTTCCCTTCCCCTGTCCCTCTCATCTGTCCCCTGTCCCTCTCATCTGTAGGATGCTGGGGTGGGGGCCTTTCAGGGCATCTGTGGGTCATCTCTTACAACTGGTTTAGTTTCTAGTCCTTTATCATTAACCCAGCAGATATTTCTCTTGCCTGCCCATTTCTGGGTGACTAATCTGACTTAGGTGCAAAGAGGCCCCCCCTTGCTGCTGAATTAAGGGTGGTTCATCAAGGCAGGGCAGAGCAAGAGACCAGAGCAGAGGCTGCCATCATCCAGAGGAGAGGCAGAGGCCCCCCAGCAGGCTGGTAGGGGTGTGTCCAGGGAGAGATAGTCTTGTACTCTGCATCTGCTTTGAAGCTGGACCCTTCAAGGAGCCTTGGTAGGGTTTAGAGATGTCTATTAGACAGTGGAATTCAGGAGCCAGGTCTGGGATAGATTGAAGTGGTTGTCATCCATCTGTCAGTAGCCTTGAAGCCTCAGGACTGGTAGTGAGCGCTTGCAGGAGAGGAAGAGACAAGGACCCAGTACTTAGCCCCCTTCAAGTTGAAGGAGAAAAGGAATAGGGAAGGAAATGGAGAAGGCACTCCAGTGACCCCTCCTCCTAAAGACCGTGACTGAGGGAGGCTCATTCACATGGGATGAGGACAGAGGATTGGCTGCTGGGCCTCGTGATGGCTGCTGGCAGCCATGATGGGCACAGCATTTATGGAGTAGAGAGAAGAAAGCTTGATGGGAATATGTTTGAAGAAAATGAGAGGCTGGGAATTACAGACACAGTATAGGCAGGTCTTTATGGAAGTTTTGCTGCAAACAGGAATAAGAAATGGAGTGATAGCTAGTGGGGGCCAAAAGGAAGCAGCTGCTGTGTTTACATAGGAGAAAACACCGTCATTTGTGAATGGTGTTGGAATGTACTGGTAGAGTGCAAAATGTTGATGATGTCAGAGAAGGAAGAGTTGAGGAAGCTCATCTTTGAGTAGGCACTAGGGTTAGGGTCTAGAGCTGGGCAGGCTTGGTGCAGTGGGGAGTGCAGATGGTTGCTATGTTGCAAATGGCACACAGATGTTGGGTGGGTGCATCCTGGGGAGTCTGTGGTAGTGAGTATGCGGAAGAGGTATCAAAAGTATAAGGCAGGCCGGGTGCGGTGGCTCACGCCTATAATCCCAGCACTTTGGGAAGCCGAGGTGGGTGGATCACTTGAAGCCAGGAGTTAGAGACCAGCCTGGCCAACATGGTGAAACCCTGTCTCTACTAAAAATACAAAAATTAGCTGGGCGTGGTGGCAGGTGCCTATAGTCCCAGCTAATGGGAGGCTGAGGCACAATAATCACTTGAGCCCGGGAAGCGGAGTTTGCAGTGAGCCAAGATTTCACCACTGCACTCCAGCCTGGGTGACGAGTGAGACTGTCTTTATTTATATACATATACATATATATATATATATATGTATATGTATATATATATAAAATATATGTATATGGAAGAAGGGAAAGTATGAGACAGTTTTTACATTTTGGCTAAATAGATAAATAAAATGTGGGCATAACTCTGATTTGACAGGATGTATGAAATAGGAGTAAGGAGAATTTGCTAGTGAATTGAATGCCAGAAACTCATTTCCCAAGCAGGTCTTTGGAAATAACATTTTGGAAGAACTGAGTTCATGTACCTGTTCACTAGGTTATTTCATGGTAACGTAAGTTCATTTTTCTAAGACATGCCTCAGTGACCACTTTTTTAAGCTGCTGTTTATGCTATTTTTTTTTTTTCTGGCTTGCATTATCTTCTGTAGTTGAGTACAGTTTCAGTATCACTTTCCCACATGCAATCCCAATTACCCCAAGCCTAACAAGTACCCTGGGAATAGACAAAGCTGGTATTGTCTGCATAAGGAAATGGTCCCCCAAGGAAGCTTGACTTCCCCTGACACCCTGTGAGTGTTTAGTGCACAGTTGAGTCTGAAACCCAGGTCATGCACTTTGAAAGAAAATAAAATGCATTACCTAGGTATTGCAGCCAGGTCTGGGATAGAGACCTGGCTATCCCATACCTGGGATGGTTGGGAAGAGTCAATTCCAAATAAAACAATAGCATTTGAAAGCTGTCACTAGGTTCAGTCTAAGCATAGTTGGTTGGCTCTCCAGCTGTAAACTGAGGAGATCAGATAGGTTTCTCCACAGGTTCCTCAAAATCCTCTGTTCTTTAGAGGGCTATGAAATGAATCTAAGGTAGCATTGGTATGAAAACTGATTTCAATTTGCTTATGTAATGTTTATCTAATTTCATGTTTAATCATTTTTTGCCATAGGTATTTTTAGTTATAAGATAAACTTTATTTTGAACTAGAGTGGGAAGGTGTATAGACTTCATTATGTTGACTTAATAAACTGTGATCATAGTTTATAAAGATACAGAGTGTAAGAGTTCAAAAAAATAGTGTAATTTGGAAACCCAAACCTTATTTGAATATTATTTCAAAATTCTTCTGCTGATCCCAGTGGGGTGGCCTAGTTGATAGGTACAAATATTACTTTTCTTCAAATGATGCTGCTGCATGTACTATGAATACAAGGCATTTCAGTTGTATTTTCCTCAAGAGACTCTTTAGATATCGATCAGTGGAATAAAGTTATTGAGCAGCTTGGAACACCATCAGCAGAGTTCATGAAGAAACTTCAGCCAACTGTGAGAAATTATGTAGAAAACAGACCAAAGTATCCTGGAATCAAATTCGAAGAACTCTTTCCAGATTGGATATTCCCATCAGAATCCGAACGAGACAAAATAAAAAGTAAAATATCCTTTTTTTCTTATGCTTGTTTTTGTAATTCAGGTGATGCTTTCACTCTTTCATGTTTATATTCTAAAAACCTGTGAGCTTTGGGAGAGAAAGTCATTTTAGGCCAGAAGTCTGAGGTATGAAGGTACTGAGGAGAGAAAGCTTAAAGGTCTAGAAGCTTTATATTCTATAAGATGGCTTAATTGAAGCCTTTGGCCAAAATAAAAATAAGCAAATCAGTCTGAAATAATCGTATATTACAGTTATAGCAGCTGGAATTCAAAAAGTTTTCAGATTAAAAAGAACACTTGACTGCAGATTCTAGAGTCAGAAGCCATGTGATAGTCATTTGATAAAAAAGGCTCTCTCCCTTTTCTTCTGCACCCTTTACTACAATGTGATTTCTTAAGGACATGTCTACATTAAGATAAACTGTGCCTTAATCAGAAAAGCCCCAGTCTTTCCTGTGCTTATTCAGGTTGTGAACTTTAATTGCCAAAACCTAGGTGAGCCTTATATTTAACTAAGTTATTTAACTTGGTTTTTTTTCTTAAATACCAATCTGTGGATTAAAAAAAAAAAAAAATGTGTTGCCAACACTGTATACAGCTAGGCCAGCCAGAAGCATCTGTGAGTATTTTATACTGTGGGAATGTGAGATTGTTGTGTGGTTTAAAAATCTGTTCTAATTTCATTTTGATGTGACTTAGAGAAAAATACTCCCCTTTGCCTCTTTCCTGCACTCTGGGCAGTGCCGCCCTCAGCTCAGCAATTGCCACTTCCTTTGCTGTGGTTTCCCAGCCTTGGGCCCTGCCCAGATATTGGTCTGAGGTGCTCTTTCCCATAACCCTGGGGGCCCAGGTTTCTCTTCCCCTCGCAGATCCAGAGGCGTAAAACTACATTTGGAAACCCGGCTTGTCATGAAAGTGGCTGCTTGGCTTTTTCTTAAAAATGTTTGGGTTCTATTCATCTTGAACCTATCAAACATTTCTCAAAAGTAATATATCTTTGTTCTATATGTGCTGTCATACTTAGTTCTTTATTGTATGATTCTCTTTTTTTCATATTAACAGCATTAATTTATTAATCTAATATTTGTTTTTACCCTAGCAAGTCAAGCCAGAGATCTGTTATCAAAAATGTTAGTGATTGATCCTGACAAGCGGATCTCTGTAGACGAAGCCCTGCGTCACCCATACATCACTGTGTGGTATGATCCTGCTGAAGCAGAAGCAGTGAGTATCTGTTTTGAAAAGATTTCTATGTAGAGGCCAGGCTTGTATTTCCATGGTTCTTTTCTGTTCATCCAGAGTGGCTATATACAGGTAGCAAGTTCTCCATCTGGGGGCTCCCAGTTACAAAAAGGCCAAATGTTTTCTGAGACCTGGGTCACTTGTTCTTTTGCTGCTGGAGCTCCAGCTCAGAGTACCTCGAGAATGAACTTACACTTTGGTGATATCATTGTCTCCATTTTGCAAATTCTGCTTTGTGCTCATAGTTTATTAAGGATCTGTTCTATGCCATGGGCTTTGGTTGCATCCTCTTATTTAGGCCACTCAACCAGAGAGGCTGAACAACAAACACACGTCTGTTTATCCTTCCCTAAAGGCATCATGCCTCCTGGTTCCCCTTCTGGAGTAGCTCCACTCTGAGTTTGGTGCTCGTGTGCTTGTTTCCATATCAGCACTGGTGTGAGTGAGCTTTAGCTGTGAGGGAAATCATTGCATAGTAGCAGGCTTCTTTCATGGCCTGTGATCTTACCATCACTTTAAACATTGCTTTATAGAAAAATAATCCAATTTATAAGCAGACTTTTGTAGCAGTCCATTTATGAGTTGGACATTGGGTTTGGGAGTTCTCCCATGAAGAAAATGTAAAATTTGTTCTAAGAAACAACAGGATCTTCCATAGCTGCCAGCCCAGTGCCTTGTCCATGCTGGGTCTCTGGGAAACAACCTGTGCTGATGAGTTTCTAATGACATCTGGACAGATGTCTTGTTTTGAGGTCAGGTGATTATTAAGAGGAACATAGTAACTCTTTTTTGGTTAAGTTTTTCATAATTATTTTGATTCTAAAGCTGATGTCACATGACAGAAATCTTTATTAAACCATGTGTTGAATTACACTAAATTCATATCATAAATAGACTAGAAGTCTTCCAAGTGATTCTACCTTTTTTAATGCCTCATTGTTTTTTGAGGCATTACTGTTGACTTTGCATATGATTTAATTTTTAGCCACCACCTCAAATTTATGATGCCCAGTTGGAAGAAAGAGAACATGCAATTGAAGAATGGAAAGGTAAAGACAGAGCTTGTTTTGTTCTTCCTTGTGACATTTCTTCCAATCCTATAAAGCAGAAACTTTACATTTTGTGACATTTCTCTTCAGGAAGGGGCAAAAAAAAAAAAAAAAAAAAAAAACCATGCTGCAGCCCACTTAGCTGCAGTTTCCAGTAGAAAAAGAACTTGAAGAGAACAGAATTAGAGAGGCACATGTATGAATTTCTTATCATATGTTTCAAGAGGGAAAAATATGTTTTTCATGGCTTTTCACATATTAGTTTGTAAACTGAGCTTAGTAATTGTATCACACATATATTGATAACATGTTGCAAATTGTCAGGTGAGGCCAATTCACTGGCTGCATGTTACCTATAGAATTCCCAGTATATGCAGAAATGGGGAGCCAGGGCTGGGGGTCATGTGAACTTCTGCTTGTTCTTTTAAGCCATGTAGTTGTACATATGTTTTAAAATCCAGTTTGGGGGAAATTGCAGATTGAAAATGTCCAGCTCGGTATTATTACCACTGTAAGATTAACCAAACAACACACAACAAACTATACCTATAATGAAGAGGTTGAACTAACAATTTTTCATTAAAAAGCAGGATCAGTAGTAACTGAGAACCACAGTCAGAGTGAGTTAACACTGATGATGGGTCCTAACCCAGGGTCATCCTGGGATGTGGGAATGCCAGCTACCTGTGTGCCCATGCTTATCAAGACATGCACACAGCATGCTCATTAGTCTCAGTAAATGCTTGCAATGTGTTAATGTTAGTTCATGAATGCTGAAATTTTAGGAATCCCTAATAACTTACTTAGTAGGTAATTAGTTTTTCTTACAAATGAAAGTTGAGGAAAACTGAAGTTGAAAATAAGAAAAGACTTAGGCATGTGGATTCATTTCTGGCTAGTGTGGGGGGCTCCTAGCCCACATGTGGCTGCTGATTACCTTTGGAGAACCCTGAGTAACCACAGAGTAACATGGGTGTGAGAATGTCCAATCCCTTATAGTGTTCTGTGGGAGCCACTCCACTTCATAAAACCCTGTTATGGATCCAGAACCACCCTCCATGTTTTGCTACCTCACTAGTCACATTGAAAAAATGTGATGTAGTTGGGGCGCAGTGGCTCACGCCTGTAATCCCAGCACTTTGGTAGGCCAAGGCAGGCAGATGACTTGAGGCCAGGAATTCAAGACAAGCCCGGCCAACATGGCAAAACCCCATCTCTGCAAAAACTACAAAAATTAGCAAGGCATGGTGGTACACACCTGTAATCCCAGCTACTTGAATGACTGAAGCATGAGAATCACTTGAATCTAAGAGGTAGAGGTTGCAGTGAGCCAAGACCCACTTCACGCCAGCCTAGATGACTGCATGAGACTCTGTCTCAAAAAAAAAAAAAAAAAAAAGAAAAGAAAACATACAACTTATCAAAACATGAATATAGGCCAGGCCACAACAGCTCACGCTTGTAATCCCAGCACTTTGGGAGGCTGAGGCAGGCAGATCACAAGGTAAGGAGTTCAAGACCAGCCGGACCAACATGGTGAAACCCCATCTCTACTAAAAATACAAAAATTAGCCGGGCATAGTGGCACTTGCCTGTATTCCCAGCTACTCGGGAGGCTGAGGCAGGAGAATTACTTGAACCCGGGAGCAAGAAGTTACAGTGAGCTGAGATCATGCCACTGCACTCCAGCCTGGGCGACAGAGCAAGACTCCATCTCAAAAAAAAAAAAAAAAATTAAATGAATATTTTGGTCCAGGTAGACTATATTACTGAATTGACTGTATCTTAAAATTAAACATAACATACCATGGTGCCCTTGGAGTGGTTCCAATTGATTTGGAAGCAGAGTTTAGAGATACAATAAAACTGTTAGAAAGTAAGCATTTTAACTTGTATTTTTATTAAAGAGCTAATTTACAAAGAAGTCATGGATTGGGAAGAAAGAAGCAAGAATGGTGTTGTAAAAGATCAGACTTCAGGTTAGTGATTGCTTTAATAGTTTGATCGTATGATATTTTTCTTTCTCATTTCAACTTTTATAAATGGCAGCAACATGTGAAATGCCAGCCTGGCTAGCATCAGATTTAAAAAACACTGTATGAATAGCTACCCTTTTTGGCTTGTCATGGTGGTGGTAGTGGTGGATGACGTTTTACTGATATGCCAGGCACTGAACTTTGTTATAAACATTCCTCTTTCATCTTTGCAATAACTGCTGTCAGCTCCATTTATAGATGAAGAAATTGAAGAAAAGCCTTTGCAGTGTTGATAACCCTCTTTGTACTGGTCCCACCCAAAATGCCAATCTAGATAAAATGGAATATGATTTTCTTTTGAGAAAATTGTTCATATCATTCTCCCTTTTTTCTACTTGATCTACTGATATTCATAGTTGTAGAATCCTAATGACTGGGTAGTTGTATGATTATGAGAGATTCTGATATTAGTGATATTCACTTAAATCTGCAGGGTTCTACCTGTTTACTAAATGAAACACTCAAGTTATATTTATTGTCTCCCTCCCACTCCCATTGGAAAGCATGCACACACATGCGTGAGGATGTGCAGAGAGCACAGCTTACTTTGTATTCTTGAATTTTATATTCAGCATGATGTATGTGTCAAGCATCTAGAGATTACATAACTTCAGTAAGAACTTAAGTGCTTGTTAACTAAGCACAAATTTAAGACTGCAAACGTCGATCTCAAGAGAGTCTGCGTGTTGTATTTTTATTCAAACCAGACTAAAATATGGATAGTAGGAAGTAGGATAGTTTCATTTGCTTTAAAAGATTAAAATATCAGCTTTCTGGAGTTATAAAACAATAAAAAATATGAAGCCACTAATTTTTTTTTCCTTTTTCTAGTATGCAGTCTGTTTATTGCAAAAGGTTTCTTTGAATATTGGTTTTTTTTTTCTGTAGATTTAGTGTTTATGTTATAAATTCAAGTGTCTGGTGACACTTGAATCCTATTCAGGCTTAAGCCTTTTGTGATACTGCATTTTCAGATAAATATAGCTTTTTCCTTTTGATGTCTACTTGAAAGAAGCAGGTATTTTTTAAGTAGCTAACATGATTATACATGGCCACATATATGTTTAGCCACTGAGAAGAAAACAAGAATCTTGCAAGGAAAGACATAGAAATAGGGGATTCTGGGCCCAAAGAAAGACTCAAGGAAAAGCTCAGAAAGTCCCGCCAACTAACTTCTTGTTTGTACTCATAGTTAGGATTGGGAAACTACAAAAGGACAGAGCCAATAAATGGCCTGAAGTCTCGTTGCCTGGATTTGCAGCAATGTCGTGCCTCAGATTTTATTATATTTGGTTTTCTTAGCACAGATGCAGCAGTAAGTAGCAACGCCACTACTTCTCAGTCTTCATCTATCAATGACATTTCATCCATGTCCACTGAGCAGACACTGGCCTCAGACACAGACAGCAGTCTCGATGCCTCGACGGGACCCCTTGAAGGTTGTCGATGATAAGTTAGAAATAGTACACCTGTCATCATTGAAGGAACTCTCACCTCCATGGGCCTGAAATGCTTGGGAGTTGATGGAACCAAATAGAAAAACTCCATGTTCTGCATGTAAGAAACACAATGTCTTGCCCTACTCAGATCTAATAGGATTGCCTGCTTAGATTATAAAATGAGGCAGAATATGTCTGAAGAAAAAAAGTGCAAGCCACATTTCTAGAGATTTTGTTCAAGATCATTTCAGGTGAGCAGTTAGAATAGGTGAATTTGTTTAGAGTTGTATGGTAATAGTAGTGACAGTTTCTCATCATCTGTAACTGTTGAGATGTATGTGCATGTGACCACAAATGCTTGCTTGGACTTGCCCATCTAGCACTTTGGAAATCAGTATTTAAATGCCAAATAATCTTCCAGGTAGTGCTGCTTCTGAAGTTATCTCTTAATCCTCTTAAGTAATTTGGTATCTGTCCAGAAAAAGTTGATTTATGTTTATTAATTGGCTGTCATGATGTTATTATCTTACTCCCTTTTATGTTATGATTTATTCTCTTTTGTATTTCAGAAGACATATAATTAAATCTATTTAATAAATAAAATATATAGCTTTTCCTATATTTGTGATGTTTGGGCTGAGAATTCTCACAGCTAAAACCAAGACACTTATGTGGATACCTTTTCTCTAAATTGTCTTGTCTGGGATGGTTGTACATTCAGCTTTACTGCATGATAAAATTTTAAGTTTTGCTTAGTGCTGCTTGAAATCCTAGCTACCTTATCTCTTTTCTTCTTGGTCTTCTAGACTTAATATGAATTTAAAATGCTACCTAGAACTTCACCTTCTGTATTAAGCATGTAATACTCCATCTCAATAATATGATGGCAGATAGATTTCTGCATCCATGGCCTAACGTTGAAGTAGAATTTTACAAAATGGTCACTAGAGATCACTGCAGTCATATCCTAAGTGCTTCCTTCGCCTTTACTTACCTTTCCTCATTCAATTTCCCTCTGCCAATACCACGTTCTTGATTTTCATTCTTCATTGAAAGACGCAGATAAATTCCTCTTTGGTTTGTTTTCAGATGCCAGGCAGATTCAGATGCCTATTTGCTATAGTTGTTTTCCATTGTTTGGGGCATTCCTTTTCCGAAGGGAAATCCATGAATGTTCTGGGAAACTCTTCAGAGGATATGAAGGAAATACTGCAAAGAGTAATGATTAATTATTGAATATTTTGTGACTTAAAACTGCTCACCTGAAATTGATACTTTACGATATGTAAATTACTCAAAATTCATTAAGATACTGAGTATGTAAGTGTCACTGCAGAAATGGAGCTATGATGATCACGTTTTGCCTACCTGTGCCCATGTTTTTTTCCTCGAGCTTATTTTGTTGCTGATTCATATCTTGTGTTCAATTATTTTGAAAGCTTTTTGGTCAACATTCTATAGAATGTGTTCTGGGAGGAACTGTGATAAGAAAGTTTATTATAAATATTATCTAAAATATATGGTTCTCTCTGCACCAGTTATGTCTTATTGTTTGGTCATATCACTGGAAACTGGAACCCTTGATTAGCAAAATTAATATGAAATAAGAAATAGCTCTTTTATATTGTGTCATTTAGACACTTTCAAATACAAATTGGTAATAATAACTTGGATTGAGACGGAAACACGTATTACATGGCTATCTATCTATCTATATAAACATCCTAAAATGGCCTTCTCTCTAATACACATTCTTTTAAAAGTCTTTACTAAATCTCTCTTTAAAAGGAAAAACAAAGGAAAGGGAGAGGTTTGAAAATGCAGGAGCTGCCCTGCACTGTGTGATGCTCCCCTTACCGGGAGACGTGGACGGGGGATGAGGCACCTGCAGACTGGCTTTCTACTCACTCGCTCCTCTGGGCATTCAGCAAGCCACTTGTCATGGATGGAGCCTGTGACGGTGTGGACAGGGTTTCCTGGAAAGGCCCTCTTCCACCAGGTAGAGGTGAGTGTGCCCAGGACAGGCCACAAGCTCCACAGAAATACCTCACCCCAGCTTCCCGGTTCTTCCTGCTGAACCTAGATTTGCCAGGGTCCTGGTGCCATACATATGGTTTCAAGCCGATCTCTATGGATAAATGCTGAAAAATGTGCTCAAGTTTTCATCTTTTCTATTTTATTTTTGTAATTTATATTGTACATAACCCAGGAAGTAACTATTTTGGACATGTATTTTTATAAACCAGGTAATTTATTATTATCCTGGAATTTAGACTAGGTTTGTTTCATTTGTTGGCTTAGTTTTCAGTCAAAAAGGAAGTGACTGTCTCCCCTATGTCCGGGTCTTAATTTCAAGTGCAAAGTCCAGAGAGCAGACAGAGTTACATCTGAGCCGGACAGCAGTCTAGAAACACTGGCTATGCACACTGTATCCGCCATGGGCCTGGAGATGGAAATGGGGCTCTGCCCTTGTCTTTGGGATGTGAAACACAGAGCCCCAGTACTGAGAGGAGAAAGCCCTCTTGCAGGGCCCCTTGCCCACACTGAGTCCGTGTCTGAAACACTGAGTGGGTGCTGCTTCAACCTGCATTTAATGCTGTGTAAGTCACAATAACGACGTACAAGTCTGTCTGGTTGATTTCTAATGTAACTTCTCCGGTGTTTCCTACTGGTAATAAATACAAGTGTGACCTTTCAGGTTGCATATCTCAAAAGTAACATTGCCTAATGTTTTATAATAAAATATATTATGTGTGTTTTGGTTGGTGAAAATAATACAGACTACATCTTAAAAGATAATGTATAGCATGTTCAATTTTTGTGTGTTTTTTAAATGACAATTATATATTTCTACATCACCATCTCTGATGACAGACTTAACATGAACATGGGTAGATGTTAAAGTGTCATGCTTTTAATCAACATTAGCAAGAGATTTCACACTGAAAGGCAGAAACATGTGTTTGTTTTCTTATTGAAAATGTTCTGCAGATTCCTAACTCTGTGTTTTCAAAAGTAATGGCAGTAAGTTTTGACTTCACAAATATGCAAGTACAATTCAGAGTGTTGGTGTAATTGTTGGCTCATGAGGTGTGGCCAGAATTCACCAGTCAGCCTTGACTGGTTATGTTATGTTACTTAACGTTATTCATGGTGCTTGTGGCTTTGTGCATGGGGTGAGCCAAGTTCATCTGACATCTGTTTTTGAAGCACTTTAGGCTGTTCAGTACTTAAGACCACAGGAGTAGAAGGACCCTCGGTGGCTCACTTTCTTTTCTCTCCCTGAAAGGACTAGAATCATTCCAGAGAGATGAGTATCAGTTGTGTTTTTCAAGGTCTCTAGAGAAGGAAGATGTTTCTTGAGATACTGGGATCTGGGTCTGGATTCCATTTCTCTATCCGTCCCCTCTTTCCTCTTTCACTGTAGGCAGGACTGAAATGCTTTTTATTTGTTGACTAAAGTAATACACATAGGTGGGGTGGGGGTTTTTAGCAAGAGTGCCCATATTTCAAAATAACTTTATAATTAGCTATTTGGCGTTATCTTGAAAATTCTGTGGTTACTTATCTGAATTTAGGCACAAGGTGATTATCTTTGACAATAAGGCAGTACTTCAATATTGTTTTATTAAGGAAAGTTGGTAACAAAATCAGTAATAACAGTGACAGAGTGGTCAGTCACATCTCCTTGCAGCTGAATGTGACCGTGATGTAGGAGGGATGCGTGTCTCAGCCCTTGGGAGCTGCTCATAGGCTGAGTTTTCAAGGCCTGGAGACTGAATGCTCCTCCAAAGTTAGAATAACCAAGGCTGTGGGTTCGCAAGGGTCACTGTGAACAAGAGTGTTTGCTTCTTCCATTCTCTTTCATGTTGTTTTAGAGTTGGAAGGGAAATCCAGAATCATTTTGTCTAACCCCTCACCCTACAACAGTGAGGAGGCCTGAGCCCCAGAAAAGAGGGGTGCCTGGGCATCTCACAGCACCAAGAAGGAGCAGTGGATCTGCCCCAACCCCGTTCATAGCAGGTCCTTGTAAATCTCACTCTTCTGTCTTTCTCAGTCATAAACACTTTTGAGAATCCGCTGACATCTGTGACTTTCTCCTGAGAAAAACACCATAAGCACAAAATTTTTGCCAAGGTTTCAGAGGAGCCCTGGACCCCAGCAGATACCATGTAAAGAGCCCCTTTCTTTTCCCCCTCCTGCTTCCCCTTCCCCTCCCCCTCCCCTTCCCACTCCCACTCCTCTCCTCTCCTCTCTGTGAGATGGAATTGCACTCTGTCGCCCAGGCTGGAGTGCAGTGGCGCAGTCTCAGCTCACTGCAACCTCCACTTCCCAGGTTCAACCTATTCTCGTGCCTCAGCCTCCTGAGTAACTGGGATTACAGGCATGCACCACCACGCCCAGCTAAGTTTTGTATTTTTAGTGGAGACATGATTTTACCATGTTGGCCAGGATGGTCTTGAATTCCTGAGTTCCAGCAATCCAGCTGTCTTGGCTCTCCCAAAGTGCTGGGATTACAGGCATGAGCCACTATGCCCAGCCAGAGAGCCCCTTTCTAGACATAGCTCCTGGATGCTTCATGTTCTCAGGGGGAGCAGAGCCGGAGGGTTCTGCTGCCTTTTCTGCCCTTGTTGGCCCTGACTTATTTGTACACAAATCTTGAGTGTAAACAGGGTATCATCACTCAGCCCCAGCACTGGTTGGCCTTCTTACTTGATGGCAGAAAGAAAAGACAAGGACTTTGTTCCTGTGAACTGGGTCATTTCCATCACTTCCTCCATGTGGAACTCAGGAGCTAAATGGAAATGTACAAAGACACAGTTATCATTAAACAAATCTCCTACTTGCAAAGGAGTACTTCTGTGCTGAGCTTTGAAATAAACTCTTTCACTTAAAACCCTATTTTAAATTAATTCTTCAAAAATCTATTCTCTCCTCTCCCCTGAAACTCCCTGTGATTTTCTTATAACTTTTATAAATGTGCTTTGAAATTAATTTCACACACTTTTAAAGCATGCTTTGAAGTTAGCTTCATTTGCACATCTAGAGTGCAATGCACAGAGGGGCTCTCTAGGTCACACTCCCATTCAGGTAAGAATCAACCTGAAGAGTTCCTCACAGCTGGTCACCCAGCCCCTGTTCATATGAAGGGAATTCCTTTCCCACTGAGTCATTTGTAGTTTTAACTGTTTAAACATTCTTTCTTCAATTTAACTGACACCTGTCTCCCGTAACTTCTGCCCATGGGTCCTAGACCTTTCCTCTGAGTAAAATAGAGCAAGTCTGACCTGCTTATAAAAGCAGGCTTTAATATGTTAGTTGGAAAGGTAAGCTTCAAGTCTTCCCTTCTCTATGTTAAACTCAAAGTTCATCCAACCCTCTCTCGTATGAAAAAAAAAACCCACTGCTGGGGAGGCTGAGGCAGGAGGATTGGTTGAGCCCAGAAATTTGAGGCTGCAGTGAGCATTGATCACACCACTATAGCCTAGGCAACAGAGCAAGACCCCTTCTCTAAAAATAAAAATCTCCAAGAGCCTCCCACCTTGAGGGCCCGCTTGTCAGCTGCACCCTTAAAATATGGGCCCAGAAGTAGATACAGTATTCCAGATACAGCCTGAGCGGGGCACCCTCCAAGGGCCCCCATTAATTAACACACTCTCAGGTGGCCTTATCCTTGAGAGCCATGTCATACTCTGTGTCTAGGTCCATCTCAGTTCCTGAATTTTGTGGTGTTACAGTCAATCCCAGCTCTGTCATCATCGTGAACATTGCCAGCTTGACATCTGTGGTCCGATGGCATGAACCTGTCTCCTGAACCTTCATCTGCATGGTGATGAGCAACCTTGATAACAGCGCCTTCAGGCAGTCATCAGGACAGGTCCATGTGGCTGTTGTCTCCCCTGTCAGCAGGGCAGTTCAGCTCAGCAGCCTTGCCACGTAGCCCACAGGAAGTGATGTCTTTCTGCAAGGTCACCAAGAAGGAGCTTGATGGATGGATCACAGAAAGCATGAACACAGTTCAGCATCATTCTGTGCTCCACTTACTAGTCACGTTTCAAGAAAAAGAAATGAGTTTGGCACCATGCCCTGGACCTCAGAGTACATTCTTTTATTTTTACTTGGGAGGAGCACGTGGTGAGCGCCAGCCACCCCCTTGATAGCCACACTTTTGCTATCCTGTGGCCACTTAGAAAACTTGATTAGTTTTGTCTCTGTGTCCATAGGTCACAATGAGGAAGAGCAGGACACTTACTGGCTTTGTTTTGTTTCATCTTGAATAAAGAAGTGATGTGTTTTGAAGGCTGTGTGACTGATTCCACAAAAGACCATACAGCCAATGCCAGGCAGCTCTCTTGTTGCCTGATGGCTACAAAAATTTCTCCATCAGGCCAAAACCTGGCTCATGGTGAGTGTAACTTCAGACATTCATCACCTTGAGCATCCCTTGCCTTTTTTTTCAGGACCTAGTCAACACCCATGCCTTCATAGTACCTGCTTTCTGGTTGATCTGGAACCAACTTACAGCACTAGGTAGGGTGTCCTGCAGGATATGCACCCTCCAGCTTTGCGTGGCCGCTTCTAAGAGTTTGCCCTGACCTGCCCCTGTCCCCAGGATTTCCTGGAATCTGGAAGGTACAGCTAAAGCTTTGCTAGGTTCATGTGCATC